AAGAAGCTGCCTCTGATAAAGAAAGGTGAAATAGAATCCAGAAAAAAATAAAAATGTCAAGTTAATACAACATGAACGACTGACCAACAAACAGACCAAGGGGGAAAGGGTTACATGTCTCCTTGAGGAAAACTTAACTGACTCAAAAAGATGATGAAGATGTTAGTCTGAAAAAAAATAATTGAATTTGTTGTTTCTTTTCGATGAACAATTTCAATAACTTTAATTCCTCAATCAATTCAAACCTGATTATGTCTCTGTATAAACAATAGCTTTATCCATTCAAATAACTCAAATAAAAAATAGAAATTTTTTACATTGCTATCTTTATTTGATTTATTTGGTATAAATAGGATGAATATGAAACACTAATTCAACTTATTATGTTTTACCCTTTAGCTCAGTTTATAAGTAGACATAAATACAGAAGATCAGTTGAAATATCCTATTTTTGTTGTGCTCTGCTGGTAAATGCAGAGATCTTATCAAATTTGCCTCTAATTCATCATCTTAACATCATTCATGCAATACTGAATATACAAGGGTAAGTCAAAAATTATCCACACTTTCATCATAATATATTTTTAGGTTTCTCACACTGCCTACTGACTCAAGAGTGTGGATAATTTTTGTCGATGTATGTACAAGTATGCCAAAATGGCTCTAATATATGTATGTGCATGTGTGTGGGTGTGATATATATATATATATATATATATATATATATATATAATATATAAAGAAATATAGTCTTAAGGTGTGCTATATTTATGGAATAAAGTGCTCAATATCAGAGATAGAGTGTGTAAATATTTAAGTGCCATGCTATATGCAATCGTTGGCCTGGACGATTGCATATAGCATGAAACAGACTGTCGCCTCTAAGTGTTGACTTCTATGTTCACTTTATATTTATATATATATATATATATATATATATATATATATATATATATATATATATATATATATAAATATTAAAAAGAATAGAGAAGTGAGAAACCACAAACGTTTTTGGTTATAATGTGGAATTAAAAAAAAATATATATTATACTTTATTTTTTATAATTTTACAACATGGGTTTCAATGCTAAACATTATTGATGTTAAACATTCTCTTTTTTGTGTGGTAGTGACATAAATGTCTCTCTTGCACTGGCAGTGAGAAAGTTCCTCTGCTTGAAGGGTAATAAAACAATTAAGATTGGTCCGAGAAAGAGTGAGGAAAGATATCTGTCTTCTTAGCTTTTAATGACTCCTGTGTGTTCTTGGATCTATTTCCATTTTTTGTATAGTATGTGTTTTTGTTAGTAAGCATATGTACACATATATTCCCTCGCCATACATATATACATACATACTGTTGCACCATAAGGAATTAGTATACACATATATACATACATACATACATATATACACAGGCAAACACACATATATATATATATATATATATATATATATATATATGCATACATACATGTTTAACATCGAGAATGTTTAACATTGAAAGACATAAGGAACATTTTAATAATATGTGGTAATATCTAAGGTTGCAAGACCCAAAACCTGTGTTGCAAAATTATGGAACATGAAGCATAATATATTTTTTTTAAAAATCTACATTGCAACCACAAACGTTTGTGGTTTCTCTCTCCTTTTTAATATATACACATTTCTCTCATTGGAAACACTATAACCTCATCACTATATATATATATATATATATATATATCTGATTTAAAATTCTACAATACCAAATGGCTCTAATACAGATATAGATAAAACAAACAAGCACACAAGGAGACAGACACTTTCTGTGATAAGCTAAGGTAATTAATTTGATTTATGATTCCCACTTATACTCAAAGAACATACAGTTTCCTCTTTCTTTCATTTTAACCTGAGGAAACCAAGCAAAATGTGTTGTTAATAAATTTTATTATATTGAATTTCTTGTCACAGTTTTAGTTTGTCGTACTGTTATTGTCATGAATTCTGCTGTTGATGGTGTTTAACCATTATTTTGGTAGTAGATCTATTATTCAATAGTAAGTGAAAAGTGATATCTGAACAGTAATTATTTTGCTACTATTTGATTATTATAAAAATAGATATTCATTATGGTGAAATAACATATACAAAGTAGAAAATATTTAATTCTGTCTTGTTTTTTCTTGATTAGAATTTGAATACAAAGGAACTGTATTACTGTTCTTTTCTTGATTAGAATTTGAATACAAAGGAACTATATTACTGTTCTTTTCTTGATTAGAATTTGAATACAAAGGAACTATATTACTGTTCTTTTCTTGATTAGAATTTGAAAACAAAGGAACTGTATTACTGCTCTTTACTTGATTAGAATTTGAATACAAAGGAACTGTATTACTGTTCTTTACTTGATTACAATTTGAATACAAAGGAACTGTATTACTGTTCTTTACTTGATTAGAATTTGAATACAAAGGAACTGTATTACAGTTCTTTTCTTGATTAGAATTTGAAAACAAAGGAACTGTATTACTGTTCTTTTCTTGATTAGAATTTGAAAACAAAGGAACTGTATTACTGTTCTTTACTTGATTAGAATTTGAAAACGAAGGAACTGTATTACTGTTCTTTACTTGATTAGAATTTGAAAACGAAGGAACTGTATTACTGTTCTTTACTTGATTAGAATTTGAATACAAAGGAACTGTATTACTGTTCTTTTCTTGATTAGAATTTGAAAACAAAGGAACTGTATTACTGTTCTTTACTTGATTAGAATTTGAAGACAAATGAACTGTATTACTGCTCTTTACTTGGTTAGAATTTGAATGTAAAGGAACTGTATTATTGTTCTTTACTTGATTACCTTAACTTTGAAAATCTGCAATAGTCTGGCTATGGAAAAGTCAACACTGTCAACAGTTATTATGGTAATCTTGTTTATTATTTGTTATACATTCTTCTATCTTACAATAACATTTCTAGTTATTCAGCACAAGAATACTAACATTGTGATTGGTAAGACTGAGTCAGTTTGTTAGTGGTCTTTGTTTTTTATCTGCTTTTTTATATAATGTTTTGCAAACTAACTGCTACTCTATTGAATTGTGCTTCTAGCACATTAGTAATAATCATAGATATTAAGAAATATCTTGACCTTCTATCCTTCTATTTAATGAAGTATTGACCTTCCATCTTTCTATTTAATGGCATTTCAGTTATATGCATATAAATTCCTTTTTTGCTAAAGCTATATTTGAGTATTCTTCTTTTTTTAAAACATCATTTCACTTGAAAGAAAACAATAAAGCCACTTAAATGCAAATGGATACAGAGTGTGAAAGAATATAAGGAAAGGAGAAACTTTATTAAGGAACAAGAATGATAAAAAAACAGGAATCAATTAGACAGAAGATAATGATTAACATTGCATTTAGATTTTTGAAGATCAATGTTGACTGGAAAGCAAGAAGCTGGAAGGGAGTTTCACAAGTGAGATGTGTTAGAGAAGAAACTGTCAGTATAGAACTTACAGTTACATCTATCCAAGTTGACTGTAAATTGATGATATCTTGTTGCCAATCTAGTATGGCACTGAATTAATGAAGTCTAGGTACCAGAGAAGAAAGTTTATCAGAACAATTATCATGAAAATATTTATAGAAAAGGCACAGGGAAGCTGTTCAGTAGGGGGTATGGTATAGAATTTTTTACTTAATCAAGAAAAGGAAAAAACACATATCAATTATGAGAGAAGCTATATTATACCCATTTTTAAAATAAAATAATATTGCAAGTGTTGTTGGGAACATTTAGAATTTTCTGCTACCAGAAAAAGAGACTCTTTCTACCCAAAATAATACACCTGGAAAAGGCTGAAGAAAGGATCAAACATTATGGAAACAACATGACAAAGAAGAAGTCCAATCACCCAAAGAATTTTTTAAATAAAAAGATGCTTTTTTATTATTATTTGGTAATTTATCAAAGTATAGCTAATCTAGTATAGATTCCCTTGCCTTTTCTATAAATACTTTCATTGTAATTGTTCTGCTGAACTTTCCTCTATGATGCCTAGACTTTATGAATTTAAGCAGTAAGATCTCATCATTTTACAGTTAAAATGGCTACATGTAACCATAAGTTCTATGCTAACAGTTTTGTCTATTGCACTTCTCACTTGTGGAACTCTCTTCTGGCCTTTTGCTTCCCAGTCATGTTTGACCTTCAAAAATTTAAATGTAATGTGGAGCATTATCTACTGTCTTTTTAATTCCTAATCTTTTATTGTTCTCTCTCTCGTTAATAATGTTTTCTTTTTTTCAACAGTGTTTTCTCTAACAATCAGTAAACCCATGCAACTTAGTAGCTTTATTCCCTTGCTTGTGGTGAAATGATTAAAAAAAGACAATACTCTCATACATAATTTTTATGAATTGACTTAGACTCAATGGTAAGCGAGGTTTAAAACCTCTTCTTTATAGGCGATCATAGCTCTCCACACTTTCTTAAGTGCAGTACTAGATTGGCAACAAGATCTCATCAATTTACAGTTGACTAATGGCATGCTAACAGTTTCTCCTTTTGTATATCTCACTTATGGAACTCTCTTCTGGCTTCTTGCTTACCAACCAACATTAATCTTCAAAAATTTAAATGCAATGTCAATTATTATCTACTGTCTTCTTGATTCCTCTTTTATTGTTCTGGCTCCTTGGGGTGAAATGATTAAAAAAGAAAATTAAATAAAATAAAGTATATCTCATTTATATGCATTTTTGAGTGTATTAGTTTTTCATTATTTTCATTAATATTTTCAAGAAGGTATGTCCTTCACTCATGGCAACAATAGTTGAGATAGTATTAAAATTGCAAAGAAAATCAACTAAAATTACAATGACGAAAATACTAGTCAAAAATTGATAATGTTATTATCTTTAGGGTTTTTAAAACAATACCTAAAATACTATAATCCTTGATTTCCTTAAATGTAATTTCTTTTGTTACAGACGCAACTTGCAAAGCTTGATGATTAAAGAAAATGTTGTGGAATGGTTACTAAATCTCTTAGAAGAATATGACTCACAGTCAGATTATGTTCTTGAATATGCCGTTGCTCTCCTCATGAACCTATGTTTCCGAACTGAAGGTTAGTATCTATTATGTCATATTTTATTTGTAGCTTTTGTACCTTTTCACTTGTTTAACTACAGCTACATTACATACACACACGTACTGAAAAGTTCACAGCCAACGCATTTTGTGATATAAATATTTCAATGGCCAAACATCAGAATAATGCTTTTGGGAAAAGGAGTTGGCTGATAACTTTTCAGCATGAGCTATATAATATATATATATATATATATATATATATATATATATATATATATATATATATATATATATATACACATATATATATATATATATATATATATACATATATATATATATATATATATATATATGCATCCTATAATGAACCCCCATTTACGCTGACGTGCCTTACCGTCATTTAACATCTCGCCACAAAGGAGCGTTCGGTAGACAAGGTCAAATTTACTGCTTATAAACTTCAATCTTCCATGAGTCTCGTACATTCATAACTGCTCTGGTATCAAATGTAAACAAATGACGCTATATATTAAGAAAATGGACAAAGTCCGACAATTTATTTATTAAAGACATTTTTTATGTTTAACGTTCTTTTATAGATACAAGTATTTAAGTAAATGCTCTGTTTATAATAAACAGTATTAAATAACATTTACCGCCTGAATGTCCGAGAAATATATATATATTTATATATATATATATATATATATATAAATGAATAAAGACAAGCGGAAAACTTATTTTAGCCAACCCATTTCAGACTTTATCAAGGAACTTGCTTTGTCCTTTTACAGATATACTCTGTTTGAAATTTTTACATATATGAATGTGCATATGTGTTTGTATAGAATTCAGTTTATCCACAATCTAAATTTGGATGTTCAGCAACTTATTTAAAAATGAGAAAATACAAAATTGAACAGACAAACTTTGTCTACTGAATTTAACAAAACTTGATAGATATATATATATATTATATGAAAAGATTACTTAACTTTGAAATATAAATTTTATCCAGACTTCGACGTTTCTTGGTAAAATTTCCAGTTTTCAGGGGTTGTAGTTTTAAACAGTATTTTGAATGTTTTTTTTCAATTTTTTCAATTTGTTACACGTCTTTTTCAATCCAATTTTTACTCTGTTTTGTACACGTACATATTCATGAATTTAACATTCTTTTAGATATGCACATTCATGAAATTTTGCTTTTGTTTACGTCTTTCATCTTTACAGCTGTAGATTGCTGTGAATTTTTTCTTTGAAAATAATTCTTTCTTCAAAATTAAATTAAATAATTTTTTAGGGTTTATATAAAAAATTTTATGTTATGTTACATTAAATTGTAATATTTGTTAGTCTTATTATTAATTAAATTATAATATTTCAGTTAATATTTTTAATTAATATTTTAATTGATTTATTATATTACATCAGTATTAAAATAACATTTGAAGTCAGGATAAAATTGATATTTAAATGTTGAGTGATCTTTTCATATAATATTATTAATGCTCTATTTTAAATATTATTTTAATATTTTTGATAATGAGCACTATATATAAAACTGCTGTTTCTTAAATCTTATATATATATATATATATATATATATATATATATGTGCATGTGTGTGTGCTGTTAACACTGTATACTCCACTGTGGTCTATAGAGCCGTAGACTCACCATGCTAGAAGATGTTGCTGTGGCTTTTGTAGCAAGTACGTTTTTGGGAGTCGGTATCCCCATTCCCAGCTAGTTTTGAATTCAGACTTGTCCTAAACTGCTTGCCAACCATAACTAGTCCAGTCTGCCTTGTCATTGCCCTTTGGCTGGATGGAAGAAGAGATAGGCGCATACTTTTCCAAGAGTATCTGTTCAAAAAGCAAACTCAACACTTCAATACCATTTTCCATGGTTATAACCACTGCACCATATGAATGTCAATCAATATTTCTTCTTTATCCTCTCTCTCTCACACACACACACACACACATATATATATATATATATATATATATATATATATATATATTAAAGACATATTTTTATGTTTAACGTTGTTATTTTATAGATACAAGTATTTAAGCAAATGCTCTGTTTATGATAAACAGTATTAAATAACATTTACTGCCTGAATGTCCGAGAAATTTTCATAGAAAATTTTCGTTCTTTTGACAGGATTCGAACCTGCATCCTATACGGATAAATATGTCTTTAATAAATAAATTGTCGGACCTTGTCCATTTCTTAATATATGACGTCATTTGTTTACATTCGATACGCCAGAGCAGTTATGAATGTACGAGATTCATGGAAAGTTGGAGTTTATAAGCAGTAAATTCGACCTTGTCTTCCGATTGGTTCTTTGTAGCTCAAGCGGTAAAGGCACGTCAGCGTATATGACGGTTCCGTATAGGATGGTGGTTCAATCCTGTCAAAGAACGAAAATTTTCTATGAAAATTTCTCGGACATTCAGGCCGGTAAATGTTATTTAATACTGTTTATCATAAACAGAGCATTTGCTTAAATACTTGTATCTATAAAATAACAACGTTAAACATAAAAATATGTCTTTAATAAATAAATTGTCGGACCTTGTCCATTTCTTAATATATATATATATATATATATAAATGTAAAAGACAATAGGAAAACTGTAATATTAGCCGATATGTTTTTAATATTCAATGGTGGCATTCTTGAGGATTTTTCTTCTGAGTGAATATTTTCTTTTTTTTATGAGTGTAGCATTTTTAAAATCAAAATTGTGGTTGAATTTATTTCTATGTATGACTAGTGAATTAGTTTTTTTATGCTCATAGATGCGTTTTTTTAATTTTCTGCTTGTTTCTCCAATATATTGGGAGGGACAGTTTTGGCAATTTATTTTATAAATGCCTACTTCAGAAATATTATTGCTATTAGTGTTTGAGGATCTGAGTATATGCCATAATGGTTTTGGAAGTGTTTGTGGCTATTTTAAGATTATTTAGATGGGATAGGTTGTGCCACCATTGGATATTATCTAAATATTAATCTACGCCCAGGATTTTTCCCTATTTCACCTTTCCTAACAGAATTACTTCTCTCCCAAACAAACGTAAACAGCTGTATCAAGAAATCAAAAGAAAATGGTTGAATCCGTCAATACAACAATAAAAGCAATATTTCCACACATGACAGTACTTGACGTAATTTTCAGTTGACAATATGTATATCATAGCATTTTGTAAATTCTTCCAGTTGGTAAGGACATTTTGTTTTGTTAGTTACTTTGTTGTAATAAATTCACTTCATTTTTGCCTTGAAAAAGTCCACATTGGATGAAAGGACGAAACACATCGGCTAATATTACAGTTTTCCTATTGTCTTTTACATTTATAAATATTGTCTTTTTCTACAGGTTAACTCTGAGAAATTTTCATTATATATATATATATATATATATATATATATATATATATATATGAATAATTAATGAATTTATTTTAAAATAGACACCCCATTTTTATTTATAAAACAGTGTGTATTATATCTATTGGTATGCACATTCAAGAAATCCTAGTGAAGAAAATGCATTCCCCAGCAGAGATTGAATCTATGTCCCCCACCTTGTAGGGGAAACCATGGTTTGATCTAGTGTGTTTTACTGTTCAGCCACAAAGAATGTCACAGCAATTAAGGTTTTATTTTCCTTTTTTTAAGGAAAACACGTCCTTTTCACTCAGATTATTTTCTCAGAAGCTTCATATAAGCTCAGTTTCATATAAAAAATGTAGACAAAATAATTTCTAAAGAATTAATGGATTTATTTTTAATCCAACATTTTTATTGCTTCAAATCTTATTATAGTGAATACTTTGTATTTGAAATAGATGCCCCATTTTCATTCAATGAACTGTATGTGTAACATCTATCAGCCTGTGCATTCAAAAAATCCTAGTTAAAAAAAATACATTCTCCAGCAGGAATTGAAACTGCATCCCCCTCTGTAGGGGAAAGCACCAGTGTGCTTTACCACTTTACCTAACTCTCACAGCTTAAAAGCAGAAAGGCTGGCTTTTGTTATTCAATACCTATAAAACAAAACAAAATTTCATCACCACCAATCAGACACTAATACTGCTCTAATCATGAGGAGTGGTCCTACTCTCAAAGAAGCTTCTTGACTCAAATACGTATTGGAGCAAAATCTCACTGCAGATTACAAATGTAACTCATATATTCATCCCAATGCTAAAGATGCTGGAAGAATTGTCAGCTCCTTGTATCACTCCAGAAAATACCTATCTCCTGCTGTTATGCTCTATATTTACAAGAGTTAGATCAGACAAAAAATGGATTATTGCTACCATATTTGGGCTGGTGCTGCCTAACTGTCACTGTCCAACTTTGATAGAGTTACATTCCTTAATCCGTCCCCAACTCAGATATTCACAGCTAAAACCTGCCATTCCATGTTCATGGAAATCATACACAATGTATTACCTAAGGAGTAAGTTCCACTCAGTTTCTTTTTCAGAACTGTTATATTGTGGAACAAACTTCCAAGAAGTTTCCCTAACCACTACAAATTTAACCTCTTCAAGTTCAGGGTCAACTGATATCTATCTTATATAGCCTCATAATATGCATTATATGCATTTCTTATCACCTACTTACCTCTCCCTTACAACAATATCACTCAGTAACTTTCTATAACTTTGGGATTTGTATTGAATAAACTTAAAAAAATATATATATATATATATATATATATATATATATATATATATATATATATATATATATCGCAGTATATTCAACACCTATTGATTCAATACCCAAATATATATATATATATATATCTTAAAAAATAAATACAGAAAAATTTACCTTTTCTCTTTGCCTGGTGTCAATAGCCTAGGGGTTAGAATCCCCAACTGATGCCAAATCAGTAGTGTTTCAGTCCAGGCTTGAAGCAATTGGATGTCTAGTCACACTGATGAGTTGTGATACAGTGAAACAGTTTGGGGATGACGATATATATATAT